GCTTGAGATGTTACAAATGGTATCAAAGCCAGTCATTGGGCGATGTGCCAGTGAGGACGTTGGGCCCCCAAGGGAGGTGGATTGTGAGATCCTACGTCGGTTGGAGAGGGGAACAAAATATTCTTTATGAGGGTGTGGAAACCTCTCTCTTGCAGACGCGTTTTAAGAACCTTGAGGGGAAGCCCGAAAGAAAAACCCAGATGACAATATCTCCTAGTGGTGAGCTTGGGCTGTTACAGCTGTTACAATAGAGTTCTAGACCAGGACATGATATTTGCTGAAACCAATTCTATCTACTTGTAAATGAAATTTTGTTAACATCCTCTGAGCCATTTTTGAGCAGGTGGGCTGGTGGGTGGGGTACTCTCAAGATTCAGAGGATCCCTTTGGCAGATTAATCCGTATAACTCCTGGAGTTGGCAGGTTTATTGGTAGGGGTTACAGTCCTAGGTAAGATCTTTGTCTCCTTTGTGAAAACGTCGTTATTATTTCGGAAACACTCGGCTGATAATTATTGTCTTCACAGACAGTTGGTAACTGCATCGCCAGGAACTCCACTGTTTGAGATTTTTGTTGTCAAAGATGATGAAGGGGGATATGTCATGCAGGTGCTACGCTGAATCCTCACTTCGAAAGCTATTAACGTTTTTTCTTTTATTATGTTCAGTGAGCTAACAAAGACTACATTTATGTCTAATTTTTCTGAAGTAGGAGCTGATGCTATCATCTATTACCAGTATCTGATATTAACGAGAGATTATTTCAATATGCATTCGCTACAGGTAGCGTACTTGCAACGATCCAAAGGAAATTCAACAGTCTCAACAAGTCCACCATCAGAACCTTCAAGTAGCCCGTCCACATCCGGAGTTAAGAATGAAACTGTTGTAGTCATTCCTGAGAACGAAGTCACGAGGGAGCAAAGTGAGGAGAAGGGCACTGATTTGGACGAAGCTACCGAGGAGGGAATAAAGGGTGTGATAAATTTTTTGAAAGATAAAATTCCAGGATTGAAAGTTAAAGTAATGAATATCAATGCTCCTGAGGAAGTCATAGAGGATGCTAACTCTGTTGAGCATTTGATGCAAGAAGATAATGAGAAAACAGGGACCAGTGGCAGTTCTGATGATGAAATGGACAAGTTGGATGAGATTCAGCCTGAGACGGTTTCGTTAGGAGAGAATAGTGATGTCAGTGACGACGAAAAGGATTTGGATATGAAGCTTTATATCGGTGGGGTTGTACATAACAGCGAAGAGGCTCCTACAAAGGACGAGTATGTTCGCCATCCAGCTAATATTAAGGATATGGATAGAGATTCTTTTGTGCTGCATATTCCTGGAAGAGGCCTAGATCTTGATGCTGCAGAAGATAAAGTCTCGAAGGTCAAAGTCGCAGCTTTAGCAGCCCAAGGTGTTTCCGAGCTTATGCCAGCTGATGTTGCCAAGGCATTTTGGGGCGTCGATAAGGTTTCGCCAAAGGTGAGATTGATATCCATTTTTATTCAGAAATGGCTTTTTCCTTTTATAGGAATCAAAATAATTTCCATTTTTATTCACCAGATTTCGAGGAACGTTCGTGAGATAGTCAAACTGGCTGTCAGTCAAGCACAGAAGCGGAGTAAACTATCTGAATATACTACGTTCAATCGGATTATCACATCGAGGGGAGACCGAGATCCATTTGATGGTGAGTTTATTGTTTTTGTTTTGAAATTAGTTGCACCCACATGTCTAGATGGTGTCATAACACTTCTTGTGGGACAGGCCTCTACGTTGGTGCATTTGGCCCTTATGGCACTGAGGTGGTGCAGTTGAGGCGAAAATTCGGACATTGGAATGATGCGGAGGACAAGGACAAGCCTTCAGATGTGGAGTTCTTTGAGTATGTGGAAGCAGTAAAGCTGACCGGTGATCTTAATGTTCCTGCAGGCCAGGTCTGAATTGAATTCCAATATTGTTATGGTTTTACTGGTTCAGTAAAACGACAAGTTTTCTGTTTGCACGTCTCGATAAACATTCATATTCTCGATCTGATGTTCTTATAAAATTCAGGTCACTTTTCGGGCTAAAATTGGGAGAGGAAACCGCTCTGCCAGCCGTGGAATGTATCCAGATGAACTGGGAGTGGTATATACCATATGTCCTTTCTACTTCTCTGGTTGCTAATGTATGCTTTTCTAGTCTGTAACAGCCCAAACTCACCGCTAGTAGCTACTGTCCGCTTTTGACTTTCCCTTCTTGCTTTCCCTCAAGGTTTTAAAGCACGTCTGCTAGGGAGAGGTTTCTACACCTTTATAAGGAATGCTTTGTTATCCTCTCCAACCAATGTGAATCCACTCCAACCAATGTGAATCCACTCCCCTTGAGGGCCAGCGTCCTCGTTAACACACTGCTCGTAGATATTGCCCTCTTTGGGCTTTCCCTTCTGGACTTTTCCTCAAGGTTTTAAAACGTGTCTGCTAGGGAGAGGTTTCCACACCCTTATAAGGAATACTTTGTTCTCTTCTCCGACCAACGTAGGATCTCACAACTTCTTACCTCTTGTCATAAGCATAAGCATAACCATCATTATCTCTGGAGAGATTTGTATATGTTATGCACTTAGCAAAGTTTTACTGAGGAATTCAGAACAATGTGGGAGGTTTTGACGGGATTTTTTACAAAACATTTCGAGAATAAACGCCAAACGGTTTTTAAGTCGTTTAAATTCAAATATGGGTGATTTAAGAGAAGACTTGTTTATGCAGGTTGCTAGTTATAAAGGTCAAGGACGAATAGCTGAATTCGGGTTCCAAAATCCACAATGGGTTGATGGAGAACTTCTCCAACTAAATGGCAGGGTAATTCAACTGATAACAACTTCATTAAGAACAAGAACCATGCTCTACTTGTATCAGTACATTTGATTTCATCCCCAATTCTGTAGGGTATCGGTCCATACGTCAAAGGTGCAGATCTCGGGTTCCTCTATGTCGTTCCTCAGCAAAGTTTCCTCGTACTATTCAACCGTTTGAAGTTACCGGAGTGAAGTGTGCTCGATTCTCACCTCACGACCTGCTTCAAATTCCCGTCTTGAATTGAAAGAGTTGCAGTGCTTGCCTTGACAACAGGAAGAAAATTCTAGCCTCAGTAACAAAAGGTTCAAGCAAAGAAGACTCTTCCAGCTATGTATCTATCTCCCCACTGCATTACTTCTTTCGGTAAAAATTTTGAGTCTTTAATAATGTCTACTACCTTTTCCCCTGAGGTATATATATCAAATTTTGATGATTTTAACATATAATGGTGTGATTCTGGATGAGTTTTTGTGAGCACCCTGTTGTTTGCCTGTGAACATGCTCTACATCTAGTATATAGAAAGACCCTGCCCATTTATAGAAACGGACCTGAAACTATAGTTGTAATAGTTCAAGCCCACTACTGGTAGATATTGTCTGCTTTAGCTCGTTACGTATTGTCACCAGCCTCATGGTTTTAAAGCACGTCTATTAGGGAGAGGTTTCCACACCCTTATAAGAAATGTTCTATTCTCCTCTCTAACCAACGTGGGATTCATAATCCACCCTCTTTGGGGACCCAACGTTTTCGTTGGCACATTGCTTGGTGTCTGGCTTTGAATACCATTTGAAACAGCCAAAGCCTATACCGTTAGTAGATATTGTCCGCTTTAGCACGTTACGTATTGCCATTAACCTCACAGTTTTAAAATGTTCTATTAGGGAGAGGTTTTCACGCTTTTATAAGAAATGATTCGTTCTCCTCTCCAACCAAAATCACTCGACTTTACTTTTCGACCTTTCGACCAGTTTGGTTGGGAATGCAAAGTGAGCAGTGGGCTTAAAGTAGAGAAGGCATTGCTAGTGGTTCCTTTTTGGTGAACAGAACGAATTGCTTGGTCACTGTGGAAGGATGCTTTTCTTGGTGTGTGTGAAGGAAGTGAGTGGGTAAGTAAGGAATGTCCACGGCATAACATTACAAACTGATGCCTTTATAGTATAGCGTTCAAACTGGAATCTTTGCTTGCTTTTCTTGATGTTCCATTATTGTGTGCCATTCTTAAAACACTATATTATGAACTGTGCTCTGTTGGCTGGCGGAGCAATATCAAATTTCAACTCATCACCCCCTTAAGTTATTGAAATTCCTCGGATTTCTTGTCGACTTAGTATTGTAAGACTGGAAAATTTGTCGAGTTGCTCACCCCAAACAAATTTACTTGTGGCAACCTTTTGGCCGCCCAACGATCAATAACACTAGTCATTTCGCTCGTTGGGTTGGCTTAAACTTCTTCTTCATGAATAGTTCCTTGATCAAGGTCTTGAACTCAAGTTTGAGTCTTAAGACCTTAGCCGCTAACCCCTAGTTGACTCTCTTTTTCTCGATTCGAGTGCTTGAAAAAATTAGTCTCATATGAATTATGACATCATCTTAATAATTATAAATAGTTAACTTTCGAGGACTTAAATTAAACTTACCATTTTTTCTTTAAAAATACTTACTCTCTTTCATGCTTCTAATTAACATTTGTGTCTAGCGTTATTTATAGAATATAATAGAAAAAAATTCCATAATTTGCTATAATATCAGTATTTAAGAACAATATAAGGTCCACAAAATAAAAGAAAATACGATTATGAACGGAAAAAGAGCGAAACGACGTCGTAAAGAAGGGAGTAAACGGAGCGCCTCATTCAATTTGACGAAAGGTTAGAAATTAAGATGAAAAAAGAAAACGGAATCACTGGCTTGAACTCACTTTACTTTGTCGGAGAGGCTCTAAAATACGGTAAAACCCACTGTTTGCAACCCTTTTCCTCAAATTAAATCTCGCCACGTCATACAAAACATTACGTGTAATCAGCGCCGTTTGATTATTCCAATCCTGTTTGTAAACTGTAATACACTGGAATCTTCTCCCCATGAATTTGATGATGATTAATCAAATGATGCCACGTGGAATATCCTTCTTTTTTCCCCCCAAACTGCCTTTTCCTTTTTTTTTTTTTTTTTTTTTTTGTAATTTTTGCTTCCTCTCTCTCTCTCTCTCTCTCAAAGAATTTTTCTTGCAAATCTTTCAATAAAAACTGTCAAAGTTTGAAGCAGAAATGATTGAGACGAAATTGAAAGCTGAAAGATCGTACGACTCTTCGTCCATGAAGAAGTCGTCGTCCAGAAATTCCGAGTCGTCAATTCACAGTCATATGGAGTCTCCTCATTCGCCGCTGCGTTTCCACTCGCCGCTCCGATCCGACGTCGGCGACCCTCCCGAAACGTCTCCTTATGCTTCTCCGTATGCATCTCCTGAGAAGCTGCCTGATAACTCCAAGTCGATTGTTGTTGTTGATGTTGATAATAAGAGTACTCAGTTCTCGCCGCTTCGGTCTCCCAATGCTGGTTCTCGGAAGCTGCCGGAGTACGCAAACTTTCCTGGAGATAGGTTGGCTTCGTCTAAGGTTATGTTTAATCGGGCGATGAAGGAGGAGGTACCGCAGTCTGTGACCAAGGTAGGGCCGGCTGCGAGTGGAGTCGAGGAGGATGGTGGTGGTGGTGGTGAAAGATCGCCGAAGCAAATACCGCCGCCGCCGAGGAGGTCGAAGGACGATGCGTTGACGAAGGCGGCTTTAGGTTTTAGAGTGTCTGAAGTGGCGGTTTGCTTGATTTCGTTTTCGGTTATGGCGTCTGATAAGACTAAGGGATGGAGCGGCGACTCCTTCGATCGTTACAAGGAATACAGGTTTCTTCTTCTTCTTACAATCTACTCGACGCCTAATGTCTATTACACTAGAGAATATCGTAAGTTGGATTTGCTTTTGGCTGTTCAGGAATTTGTACATTTTGATTTTGTTGATTTGTTTCAGAATTGACTACACTTGTCGTTTCCTCAATTCCTTGGGCTGTACAGTACTATTTTAGTTCATTGTTCAGTTAGCGTCAACTGGGACATGCATTGTCAATCTTTTACCATACCAATTAGCTTTCCATTATTTGAATCCTATAAATTTGCTTCCAAGGAGAGTCATGGCTTGAAACAATTATTGTGATTAATGATCTTGAAATTCTTATGTTGCTTGTCCACCACATTGTCATCACATGAGGTAGGTGCTTTAAATGTAGTCTTCAATTTCAAGGTACGTCTCATTGTAAATGACGAATGCCATGTTAAGAATGGAGGCGTCGCCTACGTTCCAACCTATTGATTGCCAAGTTTTCAATGATTCACACTGTCCAAATGAATTCCTTTGCTAGACTATTTAATTCAGTGACCCACAACTTAAAGCATATTCTGAGTCTCTGACATGGCCACTTTTCTGTCTTTCCCCGAGTCATTTGCTGCTTTGAGTTGCAAGTTCTTAGTTCTCATGTTGGTTTTTGGTATAATTTCAAGTGTGTGTACTGTGAGTGAAGGATTATAGTGGAAGCAATCTCACTGTCAGGATTTTCGCATAATTTCCATGCCTTTTTGTGATCAATCATGTGTGACATTATTCTTAGCTTCCCTTGCATTGGAAGAATACATCAATTATAGGATATATCTCATATTTTGTCCAAATGATTCGAAGCTATCTCTTTTTGCAATTTTCCAGTAGTCTATATGATTTTGCCCGTCTTATATTATCTGATCAAGCCCATTTGTTAACAGGTACTGCCTCACTGTTAATATAATTGCATTCGTGTATGCGGCATTTCAAGCGTTTGATCTTGTCTATACTCTAATCAAGAAGCAACATATGATACGTCATCGCGTCCGTTCTTACTTCGACTTCTTCATGGATCAGGTTAGTTGTGCAAATCTGCTGGTCTGAATGAATATTGTTTAATGTCTATAGCCATGTGTTGCACTGCTGCTCTGCTTCAATGAATGTGTTTCTATGGTTAAAGGTCTGTTTTGTACAGTTCTGTAGCCTGACGAATAGGATACTTAGGCTAAAAGAAACTCGCTGGATTTATTAGAGAATCCTTTTGGTGTCCCCACAAACTGACTAAGGTCTTTGTGAATTTGAAACGATGGTTCTGATCTCTAGTAAAGATGAGATCCCATATTAGTTGGAAAGAGGAATGAAGTCTTCCTTATAATAGTGTAGGACACCGCTCCCTACAAGATGCGTTTTAAAATCGTGAGGCTGACGGTGGTACGTAACGGATCAAAGCGGACAATATTTGCTAGCGGTAGGTTTGGATTGTTACAAATGGTATCAAAGACAAACACCGTGCAGTGTGCCAGTGAGGACGCTAGGCCCTCAAGGGGGTGGATTATGAGATCCCACATTGGTTGGAGAGGAAAACGGAGCATTCTTTATAAGGGTGTGGAAAACCTCTACTTAGAAGATACGTTTTAAAACCATGAGGCTAACGGCGATACGTAACAGACTAAAGCGGTTGATATCTGCTAGCGGTGGACTTGGACGGTTGTTCTACATCCACTAATGATGCAATCCTGGTTTTTTCAATTATATTGGCAGGTATTGGCATATCTTCTCATATCATCGTCTTCCTCCGCTGCGACCCGTGTTGATGACTGGCAATCGAATTGGGGAAAAGATGAGTTCACACAGATGGCCAGTGCATCAATCAGCATGTCCTTCCTTGCCTTCGTTGCTTTTGCTGTTAGTTCGCTTATCTCTGGTTACAACCTTTGTAGCCGTGATCCTGCATGATACAAAAATCTCACCCAAGATTATTGTTTTTATTATGTTTGTACATAGACATCATAGCTATAGCTCTGCCCTTACAATAAACATGATACCCAAATTGTAAATTGTTGGATTGATATAAATGAAGCTTCTATTGCTCTTTCTAGTTCTCAAAATGGCATTCAATTTTAATTATAAAACTTAATCATAGAATATCATATTGAATTTCTGATCTTATTAATTAAAAATAACATCTTATTAATTAGATTAGGACGGACTTGCCATCAACAAGACAGTTTGGCCGAGTGGTCTAAGGCGCCAGATTTAGGCTCTGGTCCGAAAGGGCGTGGGTTCAAATCCCACAGCTGTCAATACGTTTTATTCAGTTTTGTTGTTAAAACATGGGCCGCCGTCGGCCCAATAGATTAAAGCTCATCCGTTCTTAAAGATTGGGCTAGTTTTGGGCCTAGCAAATCCTATCCACCGACAATGAATATAGAAGGAGAGAGAAAAGTCGGCAGGTGAGGTGGGCCCAATTGGGCCAATGGCATCCCCATACGATGCTCCACGTTTTGTCAAATCCGTCTCCTCACCCTATCTTTCCACGGTCAAGACTTGAAGTTTCTCTTCTTTGATATTTTCTCAATTTTTATTATTTATTTTTTAGTCATTTTTTAAATTTTAATTAAAGTCCTTATACTCATGTCACGTATTTCATTTAAATTTTGTATTTATATTTAATAAATTTTGTAAACTTATGAACTAATTAAAAAAAATTAAAAAATTAAAAAATTAAAATTATTTTATATATTTAATATATAAAATTTTAATAGATTCAAAAATTTCAATTTTAGTATTAAAAATAAAATTTCAAGATATAATGGTCTTAGTACCGAAAGAGTAAAGTCGTAATTTCATTTTTTTTTTCGGACTTCAAATATTAGTTTATTTATTTGGTTAGATTTCATAGACTAAATAAATATTTATTTTCCTTTTTCATTAATTTTTGTTGGGTTAATGAAATATAAAATATTTAAAATCTTTATTTTAATGATTGCCATTCCTCCATCCCATGAACTTCCAGCCTGAATCCAATCTTATTTCCCAAACTACCCTTCTCACCTTCCAAAAAGTTTCTTTTTCCCACAAATACTGTACCCATAAATACATCCGAATATAAATAGTTGTTATTTTAATATTTCTGTGTATGATGAGATTTAACTTTATAATTACCGTAAGATGTCGAATAAATTATTGAATAATGGCAAATAAAGTACAATAACCCATATTTTATTGTTTTAATTAATGAATAATTAGTACCGAAAGAAATCAATTATTTAAATAATTGGTGGAAGATTTTAAGGATGTGAGGAGGTGAGGGTAAATAGGGAAGGAGAATTTTGGAATTAAGATAGGACCACTCAGTACTTTGTAAATTACTGTGAATGAGCGAGCATTTTTTTCTCCTCAATTTTTGTATACGTGTTGTCCACCCACTCGACAGTGACAATACAAACGTGAACGACATGGTATTCTATATTGCGTCTATTATGTAAAAATATGTGTATTTTGATAAAATATTACCGACTAATTCCATAAATAAATATTAATTATAAAATTTAAGAAAAACTAAAATAAATTAGGGACGAAACATTCGAGAATTAAATTAAGGAAGGATTTAATATATTTTAGGAAAAGTGTTGGAAGGGTAGGATCGTCATTTCGGTCCCAGAGGATAGTGATGCCACGTTGAATTAAATTCTCCAGCGGAGACATATGAGAATGTGTAATAAAAGAAGCTTTTTGGAACAGAAAAATGCGAAATCGGCAGTTGCAGGCGTAGCCGGTGGGGGAGAGGTCGCGCTCTTTCTCTGCACGCCGCCCCCGGTGGGCGCCAAGTCCCGCTCATATTATCACTTTCACGCTCTTATCCTTTCTTCTCAATCCGATTACCCAATCCTTTTCATATCCCCCGATTTTCTCTTCTTCTCCATCTTACTCTCTTAGTCTCCCACCTATAAAACACCCCATTTCTCTCTCTTTCTCTCTCTATACATATATATATCTGTATCTATCTGGCTATATTGCTCTCTCGCTGTTATTTCTTCCGAAGAACGCAATCACTAGGTGTTTCTTCTTCATGGGGTTCTTTTGAGGTGCGGGGTTTGTTTATATTTCTGAGTATTGCTTGATCTGTTTATGTTTTCCTTTCATACCCAATTTCGCTGGCATTGAATTTATTATTTGGGTTATTTGTTATTTGATTGCATTTATTGCCTGCAAGCTGTTTGTGGAAATGCTTTGGTTAAAAAAGTTGATGATTATGAGTCCTGTGTTAGTTGGGTGAGTTTATTTGCGATAATTGCGCGCATCGAATTTGGATGAGTCGATCTTTGTTTTATTTGTGCTTTCTCCCACAACTGAGCTGCTTTGCGGTTGCCATTTTGTTTTATTATTGAATCTTGTTCATCATTTTCACATTGATATTGCTTCCCGTGTGTATTGGAAATATGTATGAACTATTCTCGTTTCTGGGTGTGCAGATATATTTCTATTTTTTCTGTGTTCTTTGCTGATTTTGGTGAATTGAGATGCCGGGAATTGTCGTGGATGAAATTAATGAAGAAAGGGCTGTGAATAAACATAACGGTGCTTCAGTTCATATGGAAGAGTCGTATGGAAACAAGTCGCCTAGGAGCGGGTTGAGTGTTCAGAGCCATGGAAGTGTTAATGTTGATTTCCCTGTTGATGGCTTGGTTGACACCTCTATTGAGAAGCTTTATGAAAATGTCTATGATATGCAAAGTTCAGATCAGTCTCCTTCAAGGCGTAGCTTTGGATCAGATGGTGGGGAATCCAGGATTGATTCCGAACTGAATCATCTTGTAGGAGGAGAGATGAGGGAGGTAGAGATAATAAAGGAGGAAGAAGACATTGTAGAGAGGACTGAAAATGATTTTCCCAGTGATTCTGTGAAAGATTTACCATCTGTAGAGAATAAGAACACAGAAAATTCCCAACCTGGAAGCTCAAGACGCCTTTCTTCTGGAAAAAAAGCTTCTCACTTGCAATTGGATCACGAGACATCTCCAAAATCAAGTCCCAGTGGCAAGGATTTGTCTGATAAGCCCCCTATTAGCAGAAAGAATGAAAAGAGTTCGAAAAAAACTAGTCCGGTTGCTTCTAACTCGAAGAAACAAAAAGATTCACCTTTGAGAGGCTCGAAAATACTTAATGGAACTGAGGATTTCAATGAATCAATGATGGATAATCCTGATCTAGGACCCTATCTGCTTAAGCAAGCTAGGAGTTTAGTTTCTTCAGGGGAGAATCTGCAGAAAGCTCTTTTATTAGCTCTCCGTGCTGCAAAAGCTTTTGAGCTATCTGCAAATGGGAAACCGAGCTTGGAACTCGTTATGTGTTTGCATGTTACAGCAGCTATTTACTGTAGTCTAGGCCAGTACAGTGAGGCAATTCCTCTGTTGGAGCATTCCATTGAGATTCCTGCCATCAAGGAAGGCCAGGAACATGCGCTGGCCAAATTTGCAGGTCACATGCAGCTAGGTGATACCTATGCAATGCTGGGCCTACTGGAAAATTCTCTAATCTGTTATACAACTGGGTTAGAGGTGCAGAAACAAGTCCTTGGAGAAGCAGACCCCAGAGTTGGTGAGACCTATAGGTATTTAGCCGAAGCCCATGTTCAAGCTTTGCAATTTGATGAGGCTGAGAAGTTTTGTCAAATGGCTCTCGATATACACAAAAAGAATGTCGGTCCTGCTTCTCTTGAGGAGGCTGCAGATAGGAGGCTTATGGGTCTCATATGTGAAACAAAAGGAGATCATGAAGCTGCGCTCGAGCATCTAGTTTTAGCCAGCATGGCTATGGTGGCAAATGGCCAAGAGACTGATGTGGCTGCAGTTGATTGCAGTATTGGAGATTCATACTTATCCCTGTCCCGTTACGACGAGGCTGTTTTTGCTTACCAGAAAGCTCTCACTGTTTTCAAGACCACCAAGGGAGAAAACCATCCAACAGTTGGTTCAGTATATATTCGTCTTGCTGATTTATACAACAAGACTGGAAAAACGAGGGAGTCGGTATCGTACTGTGAAAACGCCCTTCGAATTTATGAAAAGCCTATCCTTGGGATTCCTCCTGAGGAGATTGCTAGTGGTCTTACTAATGTTGCTGCTATTTATGAATCAATGAATGAAGCTGAGCAAGCAGTCAAATTATTACAAAAGGCACTGAAGATATATAGTAACGCCCCTGGACAGCAAAGCACCATTGCTGGAATTGAAGCCCAGATGGGTGTGTTGTATTATATGTTAGGGAGCTATTCTGAGTCTTATGACTCCTTCAAGAACGCAATTCCAAAGCTTCGCAACAGCGGAGAAAAAAAATCTGCTTTCTTTGGGATAGCTCTTAATCAAATGGGGCTTGCTTGTGTTCAGAAATATGCTATTAACGAAGCTGTGGAGCTATTTGAAGAAGCCAAGAGCATACTAGAACAAGAATACGGGCCTTATCATCCTGACACGCTCGGAGTCTATAGCAACCTTGCTGGAGCATATGATGCGATTGGCAGGTAATGTAACCATCCCTCTATTACCATACAATGATCAGTACTGTAATTGAAGTTGTCCTTTTCCCATAATCTCTGTCTGGAACTATGAAAATCTCCATAACCAAGTCCTTTTCGTTATTGTGCCACCGATATTCAGTATTTTCTGTGAGATCCCAAATCGGTTGGAGAGGGGAACGAAACATTTCTTGTAAGAATGTGAAAACCTCTCCTCAGTGGACGCGTTTTAAAACCTTGAGGGGAAGCCTGGAAGGGAAAGCTCAAAGAGGATAATATTTGCTAGCGGTGAGTTTGGGCTGGTACAAATGGTATCAGAACTAGACACCGGGCAGTGTACCAACGAGGACGTTGGGTCTCCGAGGAGGGTGGATTGTGAGATCCCACATCGGTTGGATAGGGGAACAAAGCATTCCTTAGAAGGGCATGGAAACATCTCCCTAGTGGACGCGTTTTAAAACCTTGAGGGGAAGTCCGAAAGGGAAAGCCCAAAGAGGACGATATCTACTAGCGGTGGTTTGGGCTTTGGGCTGTTACATTTTCATTAAGAAATGTTTAGAAATCTAGTCCTTTGAGCAACAGCTGATGCAACTCTACACGTTTTTCATACATTGATCAGTTCTCCTCCCATGACATTATACAGGTTGGATGATGCAATTGAAATGTTGGAGTATGTTGTTGGCATGAGAGAGGAAAAACTCGGGACTGCCAATCCTGATGTCGACGATGAGAAGAGGAGGTTGTCCGAGTTGTTGAAAGAAGCTGGTAGAGTTCGGAGCCGAAAGGCGAGATCGCTCGAGACTCTTCTTGATGCCAATACTCATCCTGTAAACAGTAAAGGTATCAAGGTTTGATAAAAAAATTATACACATCACAGGAGCGACATCGTTGCCGAGTTTAGATCTGATTCAAAATCATGGCTAATTATGGTCGAGTAGATACCTGATTCTTGAGGTTGTTCGAGTACTAGAATGTGACATTTCATTTTGTTTGCATTGTCGATTAAGCTATCTTGTATTGGTGTATGAAGTTATATTGTTCTGTATATTTTTACACGGAAGTGATGACATTATGATTTTGTATATCACATTCTTCTGGGGTTATAAGATTGTTCGATACAGGTTTTTAACGAGAACTCCGAGGATGATGTTCCTACATTTGTACCATAAATCACGAGACATATATCTTAACTAGTTAAACTATATTTATGTTGAAATTTGATAACATTAGTTTATTATTGGAGCATATATATAATATGTCTTGTAGCTCTAGTAGAAAGGGAAGGTCTACCAAGTCGTATGTCCAAGGGTGCAGGATTCTTCGAAAAAGTGCGGGCTGGCTCAGAGACCTGGGACCTTGACTTAGCGACGAATGAAGGGGAGTTTATAGAGTTCTCTCCCTCGGTGGTTTATGTAGTCGTTGGACGGCAGGAAGCTCGCTAATCTTCGTTTCCCCCTCTTTCCTTTTTCGATGAAATGGAAAGACTGAACTTAGTAGTCGACATTCTATAAGCGACTTGTAGAGTAGAGTTTACTACGAACCTTCGCCTTGAATCAAATATGGAGTAATAAATACAAAATAATAATGTATAATAAGCAGTTAAAATCTAAAAATACAATTTTTTTTAAAAAAAATTAAACTCTAGACTAGACAAATGTTCATACTTTTACTTTTTTGTTCAATTTTCGTTCAATTAACAAAAATAAAAAGGTTTATTTTATTTTATTTTATTTTTATTTTTTTTTTATTTTTATTATTCACAAATCAAAATAAAAATTGATACTGAAAAATAAATATTTTTTTTCGAATATATTAATTACCCTCGAAACCATTCGGTCTGCCTCGTTCGAGCGTATTACTTCTCTTTCGTGTTCATTGCTCTCGCCCACTGGATAGGTTTCTTTCTTCCACTCACAATTCCTCCGGTCGCTGACTGTTACAACATCTCGTTTGCTTCGTGGAAGGGACTGTACCTGTAACTATGGTTGAAAAATCTTCTAGTTCGTCATCTATTCTGGTTGATCAGCCAGTTGTAAGTTCGAAATCAATCTCATTGTTCGTTCCCCTCTTCTTTTTGCCTGTTCGATGTTCTGCAGCTTGTAAATGAATTGGCGTATTCATATATCTTTATTGGAATTTCGATTGCTTAGGTTCCAGGAGATGTGGTACTCGACCTCTCAAACATGACCAACGAAACCATCAAGCTTGGAGGCGGTCTTCGACAGGTATCTGTTAGGGTTCTATTGTTTTCAATGTTTGTGCATCTCCATATATGTCTCTGATCCCGTTTTAGCAACCATTAATTTCCTCAACGATTGTAGATTTAGTTTTCATAAACTTTTGAGCGGACAATCGAATGTACTTCAAATGTCGTTTAGTTTTCGACAATCAAAGTTCGCATTGTTGCATTTGCACTCTTGTTGTTTACGGGATTGTTTACCCTCGCTTTTTTTTTTTTTTTGCTTTCTAAAAACGATCTTTCAGGACCATGATGCTATTTCTGTCGCTAAAGTTGGAAAATTGAGGTTCTCAAAACCAAACAAATATTGGGTTGAAAGCTCGCAGAAAAGGGTCAGTAGCACCGACTCTCTTCAATCGATTATGGAGATCCTTATATTGTTTGTTGTTTCAGTTAACTTTCGTATTGTGAACTTTAACCGCTAGTTTCGGTGGGTTTCTTCAATTGAAACGACTATCAATATTATTCCCGTGTTAATAAAATGTGCTATTTTCCAGTATGTGCCATGTGCAGAAGATTGCGTACTTGGAATCGTGGTTGACTCTAGATCCGATGTAAGTGCTTCTTTATTATTGTTTGAATTAAATGTAATTGTTCAATTACGAAATAACTGGCTACTACTCTCTCTGATTGATTTTCTTGGATGGTTTGACCGGTATCCATGTCTAATGAATCTTATGGAAACCAGGGATGATTTTTCTGATTACCTTATTAATTATCATAGTATACTTTTTTTTTACTTTGTATGCAGAATTTTCTTGTTGACATAAAAGGTCCTTCATTGGCCTCTCTTCCTGTTCTTGCATTTGAAGGAGGAACAAGACGAAACATTCCCAAGTTCGAGGTGTGTATAAACTTTTGTGCGCATATTTTTGTTATATTAATCATATGACCTATAGTGGTTCCTGTCTTCCTTCTATAGAAGCCTTTATGCATTGTCAGTTCATTTATTATCCCGAGAGGTTATGCTTGTCTGTTTCTTCTTTCATCTTTTTTGGTGGGGATGGTTAAGAAACATCTTTTGCATATCAGTAAAGTTGTATTCTCTTACCCTTTTGAATTTGGCTTATTTTTTCTTTGCAATCCACTTACCTTAACTCAGGGATATGTGTCTATCATAAGTGTATTCAATTGAAATTACCAGTTTCACTTTTTTATCCTCCTTAAACATGCTTTCTTGATTCCCTGTCTTGTAGATGGGTGCCCTTCTTTATGTGCGGGTGGTGAAGGTAAACCCTGGTATGAATCCCGAGCTGGCATGCACTGATGGTTAGTTAAATCCTCCCTCTCTCAGCATCCAATAAATCGTTTGAAGGTTAAAACAGTCGATCGATATAATATAGTGATGTTCCTGTGAACTCATCCTCTGAAGAGGGGTGGGCAGGGCCTGCATACTTTATGCAAGTTCATGTTTCTCTTCAGTTTTTGGTTGTTGTGATTTACATGGAATTTCTCTCATGTGATTATCATTTTGCTTGATATAGCTAGTGGGAAAGCAGCTGGATTTGGCCTCCTAAAGGATGGTTACATCTTTGACTGTTCAACTGGCTTATCAAGAATGTAAGCTAGATTGCTTTTCTTAATTGCTCTTTCCCCCCCTTTAAGTCACTCTTCTAATCATTCATTCACATTGTTGATTTGGTCCTCTCTTCTAGGCTTCTAAGCTCGCCAACATGTCCTGTTCTTGAATCTCTTGGGAAGAAGCTTTCATTCGAGACGGCAGTTGGTATAAATGGCCGAGTTTGGGTATGTTTCTTCAATCCCTAGATTTTGTTGCTAGACATTGGTCGTTACTCTGTATAATTCTCTTCCCATGATCTCTTCTGGCACATATTAACCTTATATTTTCTTCAACAAAAAAATTTCTTTAATTGAAATATAAAATTTCTTTATTTGAAATATAAAATATGTACCGGAAGAGATTTTTCTTCAACAAAAATCTCTTCCGGCACATATTAACGTATGGAGCCGAGAGTATATATTTTAATCAATTGTACTATATTCACATTAACCTTACACAAGAGTCATATTATATTGTCGAAATTAGTCTTCACTCTTGTCATTGCCCTTCACTTTTACTGTTCTTTGAAATTTGAAAATGTAATTTCTTGTACCAATTTTACTAATAAATGAACTTTCTTATCTTGCTCATCTCTACTTTTCAGGTCAATGCAGATTCCCCGTCCACAACCATTGTTGTTTCTAATGCAATAATGAACTCAGAAACTCTGAGTGGGGTCCAACAGAGAATCATGGTGGACAAGCTCCTAAATAATTTAAAGCTATCAAGTTAAGTCTTGTATCATTTAGCTAATGGGTTTTAGGAAACAGTTGTTAATCAATTCTTTTCTCCTCTCCAACCAGAATTGAAAAAAAAAAAAAAAAATTGATTCAATTATATTCATTACCTCTCAAGTTTAATGGCAATGTGCTCCACTTCCCATGAGTTATTGGCTATTTGGTCCACAACCTCGAAAGAACTACGAGTATGAATTAAGCAGAACATATTAATCTTTCACAATTCAAGCTAGAAATTTCACTTCTTTGGATCGTATAGTTTTTAGAAACAAATTCACCAAATTCGTTGGATTCATTATGAATTCATTAATGTCTCGAGTAGCATTTTCATGGTTGATTGTACTCGTACGTCAATTTATAATTATGTATGAGACACGCTTTGTATATAGCAAAACTTGAGGCCAAGTACCAATATGTGAGATCAATTAGCTTGAAACTACCTACAAATCCAGGATTTCAAGAAGAAGAATAATTTCAAGAACAGTCATTTAGAAGGATTACTTAATTAAACATGTATTCACTAATTTGTTGTGAAACAAAAAAGAAAAAAAAAAAAAAGAAAGTAATTTTAAATAATAAAATGGGCCTTCCCCTTAAAATCAGTGTAATTTCGAAGGAAGCTTTTGGGAAATTCGGCAGGATATTCCATTCCATTTGGTGGGACATGAATATTGATGACATTTATCCGATTATTTATTTATTTATTTTTTCAATTTTCGACCCCAAAATAAATAAATAAATAAATATATAATAATAAGGCGCTTCGTAATGCGCAAAATCCAGTCTCTGCTCCAACGCGGGGATTTCACCTGATATTTCTTCCTCTTTTATCTTCCTCTCCATCTCTCAATTTCTTCCGTCCAATTCTTCGTTTGGTTCGGTTTTCGGTTCACTCCGTCCGTCCCTTTTCCCTCTCTCGGAGATTTCTTTGTGACCCAAAGGATTTGATGTGCAAAACTTGAAGGAACTACAATGGCGGCAACTCAATCGGCTCCTCCTCCATCAGATGACAATAACTCCCAGAATTCAGGTCTGATTCTCTTTTTCATTCTTTCTTTTTGCAATTTGGTTTCACTGTATAATGTTACTTGGATTTTGCCAAGTCGAAGCCTTGAGCTTCGGTATTGGCTTTTAGTTTTCTTCTCATGCAAGTAGTAGCTGAAGGTTGGTGTTTGTTTCAGCTCCAGCTCCTGCACGAGCTACGGTCGAGGATCGTGGAGATGAGATGGCGGAGGTTGAGAAGCAAACCTCCTCGCCATCTGTGTTTGTGAACTCTGAACCAATGAGAGAGGATCAGGTGCAAAATGCTGTGAAGTTTCTTCAACACCCAAGAGTAAGAGGCTCTCCTGTTGTTTACAGACGATCGTTTTTAGAAAGAAAAGGTCTGACGAAGGAGGAGATTGATGAAGCATTCAGGCGTGCGCCTGTAAGCCAATTCTTTTACCATTGAGATGTCTTATAGAATATTCGTTTAGCGTTGATTCCTTTGCGTATATGCACGCTGCTTCTAACTGCTGCTTTTTCTTTGGGCGTTGTGGGGGTGTGAAAACAGGACCCGCCCTCTAATGCACAGACAGCTACTGTGAGTCAAGGTGATG